GAAGGAGAAAATGGTGGACTCGGGATGATATGTTCTCGGAGCTCCTGCTGTCCTTCCACACTGACAGAGTACAGCGGAATCTGTGGAGGCAGACAATGTCAGAGTGCAGGAAAGCACAATATGAACGTGAGGAGAGGTGGTGGGCTGAATGGCAGGCTGAAGAGAGTGAGTGGCGGGCTGAAGAGGATAAGTGGCGTCAGCTTGCTGACAGAAGACAAGAGTTGATATGCTCCAGCATATGGTTGAGCTGCAGGAAAGGCAACAGGAGCACAGACCGCCGCTACAGTCCCTGTGTAACCAACAGCCCTCCTCCCCAAGTTCCATAGCCTCCTCACCCAGACACCCAAGATCGCGGTGCGGGGGCCTCCGGCCACCCAGCCATTCCACCCCAGAGGATTGCCCAAGCAACAGAAGGATGGCCTTCAATAAGTTTCAAAGTTTTAAAGTGCAGTGTCGCCTTGTCCTTCCCTCCTCACCCACTTAACCCAGTGCTTCCATCATCCCCCCACCCCTCCCGGGCTACCTTGGAAGTTATCCCCTATTTGTGTGATGAATTAATAAACAATGCATGAATGTGAAGTAACAATGACTTTATTGCCTCTGCAAGTGGTGATCGAAGGGGAGAGGGGAGGGTGGCTAGCTTACTGGGAAGTAGAGTGAACTGGGGGGTGGGGCGGTTTCATCAAGGAGAAACAAACAGAGCTTACACAGTGTAGCCTGACCAGTCATGAAACTGGTTTTCAAAGCTTCTATGATGTGCACCGCGCCCTGCTGTACTCTTCTAACTGCCCTGGTCTCTGGCTGCGCGTAATCAGTGGCCAAGCGATTTGCCTCAACCTCCCACCCCACCATAAATATCTCCCCCTTACTCTCACAGATATTGTAGAGCGCACAGCAAGCAGCAATAACAATTGGAATATTGGCTTCGCTGAGGTCTATCTGAGTCAGTAAACTCTGCTAGCGCGCTTTTAAATGTCCAAATGCACATTCCACCACCATTCGGCACTTGCTCAACCTATAGTTGAACAGGTCCTGAATCCTGTCCAGGCTGCCTGTGTACGGCTTCATGAGCCATGGCATTAAGGGGTAGGCTGGGTCCCCAAGGATAACGATAGGCATTTCAACATCCCCAATGGTTATTTTCGGATCTGTGAAGTAAGTCCCTTCCTCCAGCTTTTTAAACAGACCAAAGTTCCTGAAGATGCGAGCATCATGTACCTTTCTTGGCCAGCCCACATTCATGTTAGTGAAACGTCCCTTGTGCTCCACCAGGGCTTGCAGCAGTTTTGAAAAGTATCCCTTGCGGTTTATGTACTCAGTGGCTTGGTGCTCCGGTGACAAGATAGGGATATGGGTTCCGTCTGTCGCCCCACCACAGTTTGGGAATCCCTTTGCAGCAAAGCCATCCACTATGACCTGCACGTTTCCCAGACTCACTACCCTTGATATCAGCAGCTCTTTGATTGCGTTGGCTACTTGGATCACAGCAGCCCCCAGAGTAGATTTGCCCACTCCAAATTGATTCCCAACAGACCGGTATCTGTCTGGCGTTGCAAGCTTCCACAGGGCTATCGCCACTCGCTTCTCAACTGTGAGGGCTGCTCTCATCCTGGTATTCTGGTGCTTCAGGGCAGGGGAAAGCAAGTCACAGAGTTCCATGAAAGTGCCCTTATGCAGGCGAAAGTTTCGCAGCCACTGGGAATCATCCCACACCTGCAAAACGATGCAGTCCCACCAGTCTGTGCTTGTTTCCCGGGCCCAGAATCGGCATTCCATGCCATGAACCTCCCCGAGTAACACCATGATTTTCACATTGCTGGGGCCTGTACTTTGTGCGAGGTCTATGTTCATGTCAATTTCCTCATCACTTTCCTTCCTCATCACGGCTCCATACTTGCCGTGGTATGCTGCAATTGCCTCCTCGCCTGGTCTTGGTTTGGCATATTCTGGCTCTTCATATGCTCCAGGACAATGTGTGTGGTGTTCATAGTGCTCATAATTGACGCGGTGATCTGAGGAGGCTCCATGATCCCAGTGCTATGGTGTCTGAGCTGAAAAAGGCATGAAACTATTGTCTGATGAAGGGAGGGAGGGGCAGGTGCCGACATGGCTTACAGGGAATTAAAATCAACAAAGGTGGCTGTGCATCAGGGAGAAACACAAACTAATGTCAAACAGAATGCGCCCCCCACCCCAAAGATTGAACTCAAAACCCTGGGTTTAGCAGGCCATTGATTTCATGGAGAAAGGGGGAAGCAAATGAATACAGAACAAATCTGGTCTATCTATTTTTTACATCTTAAGCTGGCAGCAGACAGTGCAGCATGACTGATAGCCATTGGCATCTTCTGGGTGCTTGGCAGAAAATGCTGTACTATGACTGCTAGCCATCATTGTCAGGAGAGTTCAATAGGCCAGGAGACAAAACATATCTGCCAAGGTGCCTCTGATTGAGCTCACTGAGGAATATGACAATGATGGATACTAGTTGTAATACACCATCCACTGCCAAAAGACAAGAAGATACTGCTGTGTAGCAATGCAGTACCACGTCTGCTAGCACCCAGATGACATATGGTGATGCTGAGCTGAGCTGAGCTGAGCGGGCTCCATGCTTGCTGTGGTATGTTGTCTGCAGAGGTAACCCAGGTAACCCAGGTAAAAAGGTGCGAATCGATTGTCTGTCGTTGCTCTGACGGAGAGGGAGGGGCCTGACGACATGTACCCAGAACCCCCCGCAACACTGTTTTTGCATCATCAGGCATTGGGATCTCAACCCAGAATTCCAATGGGCAGCAGAGACTGTGGGAACTGTGGTATAGCTACCCAGAGTGCAACACTCCAGAAGTCGACGCTAGCCTCGGTACTGTGGACACGGTCTGCCGACTTAATGCACTTAGAGCATTTTATGTGGGGACACACAATCGACTGGATAAAACCGTTTTCTATAAAACCGGCTTCTGTAAGTTTGACCTAATTTCATAGTGTAGACATACCCAGAGACTTATAACTGCCTGCTTCCCCACTTTGTCTAAGAAGCACCTGCAGTGGTGCAACTGGTAATGCAAAGTGGACTAGTGGTGGTGTTATGGGTTCAACTCTTACCTGGAACACTGGTTTCTGTTATCTCTGTAGTTTCCCCAACTTGCTGTGCCTATTTCATATGGAAAAGGAGAGTAAGTTCTAAAAACATGGAAGTGGGTGCATAGCTTGGAAACATCTACCCTGTGATGCCATTAGTTCCAGTACATTGTTCACTGGCACAATGAATTGATTTATTTGCCATTGAAAAAGCTGCCAGGACAGGTCTCCTGGCACCAGATTTCCATGCTTCTTCCAGCACAGCCCTGGCTCCTTCCCTGCCCCAGTTAGAGCTGAAGGAGGGTCCTATATGCACTGAGCCTAGCACTTTCCGAAGACACCTTAGCACAGTTGGCAGCACATCATTGTCATCGTCTGAAGATCCTGAGTTGAAGTCTCAGAGAAGGCAATGGTTTTTGCTCCCTGCTTCAGATTTTCTAAAGGAAATCAGAGAAAAGAAACTATAGGAGAGTGGTTTCTAGACACCCTCCCACCCATCTAACACACACACACACACACACACACTTTTCTAAGGCATTAATTTTTCCTTCTCTATGGAGTTTGTATTCTCCATAGAGCAAAATAAAACAAAAACATTTAAGTCTAAGCCTAATACAGTATGAAACTCAATACAGATAAAATCTCACCCTCAGACATCTTCCAATAAGCTTCTTTTCTGGACTAGACCAAACTTTTTACCTGGTATAGTCCTTGTTCCTGCTCAGGTGGTATCTAGGGGATTTCTCATGACTACAGCCACCTTTCTTCTGTTCCACCCCGTTATACAGCTTTGGTACAAGGCAGGAATCTTTTGTCTCTCTCCTGGGGAAAAGCCCCAGGTTTAAGATGGATTCCTGTACCAGGTGACATGGTCGCATGTCCTGTGAGACCCCAAGCCTTCATTCTTCCTGGTCTGACTCACAGATGGGGCAGGACAGAGCCATCTATAGTCAATTGTCCTGGTTAATGGGAGCCATCAAGATTCCAAACCACTATTAATGGCCCACACTTTGCATAATTACAACAGGACCTCAGAGTTATATTTCATATTTCTAGTTTCAGATACAAGAATTCATAGATTCATAGACTCTAGGATTGGAAGGGACCTTGAGAGGTCATCAAGTCCAGTCCCCTGCCCTCATGGCAGGACTAAATACTGTCTAGAGAATCCCTTATAGACATTTATCTAACCTACTCTTAAATATCTCCAGAGATGGAGATTCCACAACCTCCCTAGGCAATTTATTCCAGTGTGTAACCACCCTGACAGTTAGGAACTTTTTCCTATTGTCCAACCTAAACCTCCCTTGCTGCAGTTTAAGACCATTACTTCTTGTTCTATCCTTAGAATGATAGGTTCATACAAATAGGATGAACACACACAGTAGAAGCTTATAAGCTTTGTAAAGATACCTTACAAGAGACCATTTGCATGAAGCATATTCCAGTTACATTATATTCACACTCATTAGCATATTTTCATAAAATCATATGGAGTGCAACGTCACAGCAGGGAAAGGGTTTTACTGCGGCAGCTGGGGGCAGTTGTGTTTCATAGTCAGGCTATGGTATGAGTTCCTCCAGGTTTCTCATAAGCACACAGGGACCTTAGCGGGTGCTCTCAATACAGGAATGGCCCAGATACAATAAAGTGATGGGAATTGCATTTTCCTTTTTTATTTGTTTTATTTCGAATGACATTTCTGTTTGTGATTTCACTTTGCTTTGTATAACTGTGTTTTCTCCTGGATTTGATATTTAACTAAAAAAATAATAAGGCCTCAGGGTGCCGGATGGAGGAGCAAGCTGAGGCTAGGACTGCTAAGAGAGCGAGAGTAGCAGGTTTTCTGTATTGTTGCCAGCCCTCTTTTGCTTGACTAGTTTCTGTTCTGCACGAAATTTGCCTCTTTTACATGTGAGTCTGGTTAGCTCAGTTGGTAGAGCATCAGACTTTGCATCTGAGAGTCCAGGGTTCAAGTCCCTGGTCAGGCAGAGAGAGACTCTCCCCTAAGAAATTCAGAAGGATTCTGCTTGACTTGAAGACTTGACCTTTCCTCAGAAGGGCCCTTTACTGTAGGGGACTGAATGTGCTACCCTTGCAGTCTGGAGGAAGAAAGGCCTCTGGGTCAGCAGCAAAGTGCTGTGTGCTGATTTTCTGAGCAAATGCAGGGCTGGCCAGAGATGCATGTTCCCACTGGGTCCTCCCTGCAAGAAAAAATTGTCCCCTCAGAGCACAAAATTTGCTTTTTGTGTGCATGTGAGCCTTGTTTGTTCAGTTGGTAGAGCATCAGACTTTTAAGACTGGAAGAGTGGGCAGGTTGATGAGCTGGGCCTTCTAGCATTCGGTTGGGGATGAGGTGTGGAACACGAACTGGGAGAAACAGATGCTGGCATGTGAGGAATTGCTTGGCCAGAGGCATAAGTGGACCTTGTCATTACCTACAAGGTTGTAATGCTCAAGACCTATATTTTGGATGCGGGGAATTTCCTCATCCATGTATATTCCCCTGCTCCACGAGTGTTGCTGAGACTGAACATGATGGCCTTCCACTTCTTGTGGGGCAATAGGATGTCTCTACCTAGTCAGGGGAAGTGTGACTTTTCTGCTATATTAGAAGGGGGGTTGGACCTGATGAGATTTGAAGTCTTTTACAACTCTACTTTTTTATTTTTCAGTTTTCAGTGGGTGGCTGAGCTGGAGAGGAATGGCAGGGCAATCACAAAGAACACAAATGAATCTTCGGATATGGCCATATGTTTTTGATCCCATTTGGTGCAGCACCGGGTATGGGATGGCTGATGATGATGGAAGGGGGAGAAGAATAGGAAGACCACCCCCTTTAATGTTCTTCTACTCCCACCTTACATCCTACAGGATTTTCAGTGGATGGCTAGGTGGATGGTGCTTACAACATGGCTTCATCCTCAGCAGTGGCTGCCCTCACCGCAGGGTGGTGGCTACAGCAGTGAGGCCCCCGCTTTGGCTCAGTCTGAACAGAGGTCAATGTACCACTGGGTGAGACAGGCAAATTTTAGGGAGCTTCCTCTGAAGGTGAGCAACTGTCCCCAGAACTTACTGACAGGAGGTTTAAAGTATTTGCAATGTGCATGTCTGGCATGTGCAGAGCAAAGTCTGCCCTGGAGCATTGTGTCAGGCTCTGGCACCGCTTGAGACAATGGACTACCTTCAGCCACCAGGTAACCCAGGATCTAAGGCAGGAATGGGGTGAGGAAGCAGGTCAAGCTGAGCAAGGCAGGCAAATAATTATCTTGCCTTCATTGGTGCTCACAATGATGCCCTTTTTGTGTGCCATGGCTGACAAAAACATCCCAGACAGAGAAGCAGCAGGCTAAAAAAGTGCTTTGCAGGTGCTGAAGTAGCTCAGTTGGGAGAGTGTTAGACTGAAGATCTAGAGGTCCCTGCTTCAATCCCAGAATTTGGTATATTTTTTGGTCCCTTTGTGTGCAGTGGTGGGATGTTTTCTAGAATTACAACAGTGATTTTACCTGCCACGAGTCCCTCATTTCAGGCTCCCAAGCAAGAAAAGACAGCATGAACTTCTGCACTGAGTTGACCCACCTGACCTTTCTTTCTTCTCTTGGTCTTTCTCAGCAAGGGGAAGAAAAAGAAGCTCTCCTTCAAGCTGGAGTCACAAGAGCGACATAAGGATAAGTTCCTGAGTGCTGGCTCCAGTCATTTGCTCTACCAGCTGACCTATCGAAGGGCTGCCACCATTTCCTCCAAGTTCACCCATCAGTGTGTTCAGAATGGAAAGCGGTAACTAGTGGTGTTCCCCAATGGTCAGTCCTAGGACCAATCCTATTCAACTTATTCATAAATGATCTGGAGAAAGGGGTAAACAGTAAGGTGGCAAAGTCTGCAGACGATACTAAACTGCTCAACGTAGTTAAGACCAATGCAGACTGAGATCTCACAAAACTAAGAGATTGGGCAACGAAATGGCAAATGAAATTTAATGTGGTTAACTGTCAAGTAATGCACATTGGAAAAGATAACCCCAATTATACATACAATATGATGGGGGCTAATTTAGCTACAACAAATCAGGAAAGAGATCTTGGAGTCATCATGGATAGTTCTGTGAAGATGACCACGCAATGTGCAGCGGCAGTTAAAAAAGCAATCAGGATGTTAGGAATCATTAAAAAAAGGATAGAGAATAAGATGGAGAATATATTATTGCCCTTATATAAATCCATGATACACCCACATGTTGAATACTGCATACAGGTGTGGTCCCCTCATTTCAAAAAAGATATGCTGGCATTAGGAAAGGTTCAGAGAAGAACAACTAAACTGATTAGGTGTTTGGAATGGGTCCCATATGAGGAGAGATTAAAGAGACTAGGACTTTTCAGCTTGGAAAAGAGGAGACTAAGGGGGGATATGATAAAGATATATAAAATATTGAGTGGTGTGGAGAAAGTGAATAAGGAAATGTTATTTACTTGTTCCCATAATATAAGAACTAGGGGCCACCAAATGAAATTAATGGGCAATAGATTTAAAAGAAATAAAAGGAGGTTCTTTTTCACACTGCACACAGACAACATGTCCAACTCCTTGCCTGAGGAGGTTGTGAAGGCTTGGACTATAACAGGGTTTAAAAGAGAACTAGATAAATTAATAGATTTCGGAGTGGTAGCCATGTTAGTCTGTATCAGCCAAAAGAACGAGGAGTACTTGTGGCACCTTAGAGACTAACAAATTTATTTGAGAAACAACTCTGACATCATAATCAAAAAGCCTGACAAAGGAGGTGCTGTCGTCATCATGAATAGGTCGGAATATGAACAAGAGGCTGCTAGGCAGCTCTTTAACACCACATTCTACAAGCCGTTACCCTCTGATCCCACTGAGGGTTAGGAAAAGAAACTGCAACATCTGCTCAAGAAACTCCCTGAAAAAGCACAAGAACAAATCTCCCCAGACACAGCCCTAGAACCTTGACCAGGGGTATTCTATCTGCTACCCAAGATCCATAAACCTGGAAATCCTGGATGCCCATCATCTCAGGCATTGGCACCCTGACAGCAGAATTGTCTGGCTATGTTGACTCCCTCCTCAGTCCCTACACTACCAGGACTCCTACCTATCTTCGAGGTACCACTGACTTCCTGAGGAAACTACAATCCATTGGTGATCTTCCAGAAAACACCATCCTGGCCACTATGGATGTAGAAGGCTCTACACCAACATTCCACACAAAGATAGACTACAAGCCATGAGAAACAGTATCCCCGATAATGTCACAGCAAACCAGGTGGCTGAACTTTATGACTTTGTCCTCACCCATAAGTATTTCACATTTGGGGACAATGTATTCTTTCAAGTCAGCAGCACTGCTATGGGTACTCGCATGGCCCCAGAGTATGTCAACATTTTTATGGCTGACTTAGAACAACGCTTCTTCAGCTTCGTCGCCTAATGCCACATCTCTACTTGCACTACACTCATGACACCTTCATCATCTTGACCCATGGAAAAGAAGCCCTTGAGATATTCCATCATGATTTTAACAATTTCCATTCCACTATCAACCTCAGCCTGGACCAGTTCACACAAGAGATCCACTTCTTGGACACTACAGTGCTAATAAGCGATGGTCACATAAACTCCACCCTATACCGGAAACCTACTGACCGCTATACTTACCTACATGCTGCCAGATTTCACCCAGACCACACCACATGATCCATTGTCTACAGCCAAGTTCTAAGACACAAGCGCATTTGCTCCAAACCCTCAGATAGAGACAGACACCTACAAGGTTTCTATCAAGCGTTCTTACAACTACAGTACCCACCTGCTGAAGTGAAGAAACAGATTGACAGAGCCAGAAGAGTACCCAGAAGTCACCTACTACAGGACAGGCCCAAAAAAGAAAGTAACAGAATGCCACTAACCGTCACCTTCAGCCCCCAACTAAAACCTCTCCAGCGCATCATCAAGGACATACAACCTATCCTGAAGGATGATCCCTCCCTCTCACAGATCTTGGGAGACAGGCAGTCCTTGCTTTCAGACAGCCCCCCAATCTGAAGCAAATACTTACCAGTAACCACACACCACACAACAAAAACACTAACCCAGGAACCTATCCTTGTAACAAAGCCCGTTGCCAACTCTGTCCACATATCTATTCAGGGGATACCATCATAGGACCTAATCACATCAGCCACACTATCAGAGGCTCGTTCACCTGCACATATGCCAATGTGATATATGCCATCATATGCCAGCAATGTCCCTCTGCCATGTACATTTGCCAAACCGGACAGTCTCTACGTAAAAGAATAAATGGACACAAATCAGACGTCAAGAATTATAACATTCAAAAACCAGACGGAGAACACTTCAATCTCCCTGGTCACTCGATTACAGACCTAAAAGTTGCAATATTACAACAACAGAAAACTTCAGAAACAGACTCCAATGAGAGACTGCTGAATTGGAATTAATTTGCAAACTGGACACCATTAAATTAGGCCTGAATAAAGACTAGGAGTGGATAGGTCATTACACAAAGTAAAGGTATTTCCCCATGTTTATTTTCCCCCCTACTGTTACTCATACCTTCTTGTCAACTGTTGGAAATGGGCCATGCTGATTATCACTACAAAAGGTTTTTTTCTCCTGCTGATAATAGCTCACCTTAACTAATCACTCTCATTACAGTTTGAGAACCCCTGTTATAGTGTGTATGGTTACACCCATTTTTTCATGTTCTCTCTCTCTCTCTCTCTCTATATATATATAAATCTTCCTACTGTATTTTCCACTGCATGCATCCGATGGAATGGGTTTTAGCCCAGGAAAGCGTATGCTCAAATAAATTTGTTAGTCTCTAAGGTGCCACAAGTACTCCTCGTTCTTTTTGTAGTTAAATTAATGGAAGTTATGTCTATTAATGGCTATTAGCCAGGATGGGTAAGGAATGGTATCCCTAGCCTCTGTTTGTCAGAGGGTG